CGGACGAGATGGTTGGACAGTGTCATCGAAGCTACCAACATGGATTTGACCTGACTCCAGGAGGCAGTGAAAGACAGGAGGGCATGCTCTGGTTTATGTGGCCATGAAAAACACAGTTTAATGACTAAATAACAACAATTCTCCAAGCCTTCCCTGGTCCAGCTGGAGAGGTGGTAGAGGAGATGCTTGGAGGAAGGCAGGCCAAAAGAAACAATCATCTCCTCTGTATCAGGGAGGGGCGGGGAGCAACTCTTTAGAGTAGAATGAAGCATCAGAGGCTGGATACTCAGATACTTAAAACTGTTGGCACCTCAGAAATCAGGGACATATACAGGATTGTGGCCATTGAAAAACATAAGGCATTAACAAGTTATTGCAAAAGCCATTTCCACTACCCTGGGTGGTTTTGAAATCAAGGCAATTTATTTATTTACAAACATCTTTCTATAACTCTTAAAACCAAATTCAAAGAAGTTTGCATACAGATTACAGAATAAAACCATTTACAAAAAAATTATAAAACAACAATGAAACAACCCCATGAGAAACTATGCATTAAAAACCAGGATCAACTGAAAATGTTAATACTTAGGAAAATAATCACTAAAATTTCTCCAGCAAACAAATTGGTCATTAATCAGTGGCAGAAACATGCAACACTGGGGCATTATTAAACGTAGAACACTTTTTCCTAGGAATGTAAAGATTCACACAAAGAAGATTGAACAATATCTTTGTTATGTTTAGACCAGTGTTTCTCAATGTTGGGTCCCCAGTTGTTCTTGGACTACAACTCCCAGAAATCCTGGCCAGCACAGCTAGTGGTGAAGGCTTCTGGGAATTTTGGTTCAAGAATATCTGGGGATCCAGGGTTGGCACCCGCTGGTTTAGACCATCCAAATGCCCATCAGGATCAACATTCATTTCTTCATCCCTTGCAGTAATTCTGTATTCCTGGGACACAGCCCTCAAGGTGACAGGCTGGCAAGAGTCCCAGCAAGTAAGAAATCAGAATGTTTGCTTTCTGTGACAGCTTTAATAGTAGGTCAAGTGAAACTATGTGCAAAAGCACATGCCTGAGTTTCCAAGCTCTTTTTGTTCCATATGGCTGGAGAATATTATTATTAGTTTGTTTGTTTGTTTATTTAATAAAATTACTTAGTTTTATTAGTTTTATTTATATGCCACATTTCTCCCAACAAAGGACCAAAGTGGCTATAATATTGTAGTTGAGCGTGTGTTGCATTTCTGCACTCCAGTCAATCACGTAAGTGAAAGAATCTGTAATGCCAGCTGAGATCGCTGTCTGTGCTCAGAGGGAGTATACTTATTGTAGCCATATGTCTCTGAGAAAGAGAGTCTGTATGCAAAAATGTTGTTCTAGATCCATTTTCATATATTGCCATATTCAGTCCTACCTTTAAACAGAGTGAGGTAGCCATCTATTAGAGCAGATTTTGAGTGTTGTGAAGGGATTGCAAATTGTCAGCTATTTACTGTGTTGTTACTGCATGTATGTGGAAGGAATTGTCACTCTCGAATTGGCCGTCTCAGGCACACTAGACACTGTTCCAAGTCTTCTATTCAGAGTACGTTATCATAGTCTCTCAACTATGCAATCCATCTTTGCACAAAAACTTCCTTTAATATTTCCGATTTTCTTGAACAGATGTTTTTTCCCTTTCTATTATTTTCCTCTATATCTTTGTACTGTTCATTTAAGGCCCTCTTGTCTCTCCTTGCTACTCTTTGGAAGTCTGCATTCCATTTTCTGTAACTTTCCCTATCTCCCTGGCATTTTGTTTCCCTTCTCTTCTCTGCTATTTGTAAGGCCTTGGTGGACAGCCACTTTGCTTTCTTGCATTTCTTTTTCTTTGGGATGGGTTTTTGTTGCTGTCTTATGTACAATGTTACAATCCATTGTTCTTCGGGCACTCTGTCTACCAAATCTAGTTCCTTAAATCTGTTCTTCACTTCCATTGTGTATTCATAAGGAATTTGGTTTAGATTATACCTGAGTAGCCCAGTGGTTTTTCCTACTTTCTTCAGTTTAAGCTTGATTTTTGTTATAAGAAGCTGATGATCAGAGACACAATCAGCTCCCGGTCTTGTTTTTGCTGACTTTATAGAGCTTCTCCATGTTGGCTGCAGAGAACATAATCAATCTGATTCCGGTATTGCCTATCTGGTGATGTCCATGTATAGAGTCGCCTCTTGTGTTGTTGGAAAAGAGTGTTTGTGATGACCAGCTTGTTCTCTTGATAAAACTCTATTAGCCTTTGCTCTTGCCCTGCTAATGTGAAGCTAATTGCCCATAAGATTAATCTACCTCCAAATACTTTGCATTACAACAGCCATATTTGGCAACAATTTACAGTTCCTGGAAAAATACACTGTTCTCCCAGCAATTAAATTTAGAATGAATAGGGAAGTCTGAACTGGTGGCAAGTGAGGTCAGAAATGTTTGTGCTGCTTTTCAATTCACAATAATTTTTGTGTTTATCTTTTTTTAAAATCAAGGATTTAAAATTTGGAGATTGAAATTGTTGGCAAAGGAGAGATGGGGCATATGTGGGTTTCTCAAAAATCAAAAGAAGGGTACAATGCCAAAAGATCTGAGAACCAGTTTAATTGTTGTTGTTAAGTGCCATCAGCCTCTCTGAATTACTGACTTTCAAAAAGTTATGTAAACAATAATCCTGCTCAGCTCCTGTAAGTCAATCCAACTCTTATTTGGGCTTCCTCTTGTTGCCTTCAACTTTTCCCAGAATTATTTTCTGTTCTAATCTTCTCAGGATGCGGCCAAAGTATGACAGCCCCAGTTCCAATATTTTTTTTTATTTTTTGCTTCTGGAAAGAGTTCAGGCTTCATTTGATCAAAAATCCACTTATTTTTCTTTCTAAAGCTGAGACTCTAATCTGCATCCAGAGGCTCATAGGACGGACAGCTGCAACTCCTCCATGATATGGCCTCTTCTACCACCCGTGAATAAGCAGACTACTAAGTTGGCAAGGAAAGAAAAATGAGTAGATCATAAACCAAAGGACATATGTGTTGCTTTTGAGAAGAAATATGGAAGGAGAGACACATGATGACACCACTTACATCCTTAGGCAGACAACTCCACATACAAGCAGCAGCAAAAGAGGATAAGATACTTGTTTTCGGGCACAGCAGAATTTTAATAGATTTATAGGAGTGGTTCCCTACCTTAAGTAACCCAGATCTTCTTGGATCGCACTCCCAGATGCCTCCATTACTGGCTGTGCTGGCCAGGATTTCTGGGAGTTGTAGTCCAAGAACATCTGGAGGACCCAAGGTTGTGAATTACTGATTTAGAGGAAGAGGTGATGCAAGCAGGGACCAGAGAGAGCAAGCAAAAGATAGTTTGGTGCTAGTCTGTAGAGACGTTTTTAAAAGAGGGATTTACTAGGGGGTTGGGTGGGGCAAAGGGGATGGGAAACCGAGGAGAATGTGCAATGTCTGTGCAGCTGGGGATAATGTGGACTGTAATCTCAACACATCTGAACAGCAGTAGATCAAGGGAGGCTGCTCTAAGAGAATTGAGACGACCAGAGAGATAAACAATTTGAGGGCATCAGAAGATTGGATGGAGGAGAGAGGACCTGAGAGGCAGAGACAACAACTGTAGTCAAAGCAGGAAAAGATCAAAGTAGTAGGAAGCAATGCTCAGCAAAGAACAGTCTAAGTGTCTGCAGCACTGTCCAGGAGAAGTAGCAGGGTTTAGGAACTAAGCATGAGGAGCCCAGAAGAGCCAAAGAAATAAAGATGAAGCTGACAGATTAAGTGTCTGATCAACAAAGTAAATGATGATGTTATCAGTGTGGTGCTTGGCCTGCGCAAACAAGGCCAGGCTCCAATTTGGCACAATAAAAACACAGGGGTAAACATGTTGGTACATTTATAATGTGGTGATAACTTATTTGCCGGCCAACTAAAAAGGCACACAAGTCTTCCAAAAGCTTTCGCAGGTGTTTGTGCCTTTTTGGTTGGTCTGATACAGGCAATAAACCCAGTAATTACCTTAAATAGGTTAATAATGCAGTGTGAATATCTGGATTTCTTCATGTGCGCTGGTGCTGAGTGGACAGATCAATTTTAAAATGACTAGGTGGCGAGATGAAGTCAGGCCACTTAATTATAAAATAACACCTCTCAAACTGCATGGTGGATCTCCCAACCAGAAGACAAAATGAAAATAAGCGGAGGAGGCCAGAAGGCAGGCTTTCATTTTCCCTGACTTAACCCAGGGCCAAGATGTCCCACCATGTAAACCTCAGAGGGGCCCCCAGGTCTCTTCCGGGCGGTTGCCCCACAGTCAGGCTGCTGCCTCTCTGGACGGGGAGCTCTTCCTAAGCAGCCTTAGCACGCCCTGGCTTAAATCCAAGGCCACGCTAGGGAACATCTGCTACGGTGAGACTTTCTCCCCTTCCCTAGGGCAGCCCTCCAGGCCGCCTGGACCAGTTTTGAGGGCAAAGGGGTGCGTGCGTGCGTGTGCGCGCAGAGGGGTGTGTGTGAGGATCGCTCCCCCTTCTTCCCGGCTCAGCTGAAGGAAGAGCAACTTGGGGTCCACACCTGCCCCTGGACCGACGGCCCTCTCCTAACTGAATTGAGGCTGTCCCGCCCATTGGCCCTGTAGAGACGGCCGGATGACCCTGCCCAGACATGGTCGGATCGCAAACACGTAACGCAGCTCAGATTATGATGGTGGTGATGATGTTTCGTCGTAGGCTGCTCCACCATAACAAGAGAGTGCGGCCACCGGACTCCCCTCCCCGCCTTTTTTGTGATCTCACACAAATACCACCTTCAGCTACATTTCCTTGAGCAGCAGCAGCAGCAGCAGCACTTGGGTCTTCTCCCGAAAAGAGTCACGCGTGTCCCGGGTGGGAATGGCCCGCCGCGGGAGGAGGAGGACCCCGTGGCGGCCGCGTCTGCTCTGAGGCGGGCCACGCTGGCTCGCCCGCCGGTCCCCTCCTCTGGGGCGGGGAAGAGGGCGCCAGGGGGCGGCGCCAGGGGGTCCCGTCCCCCCCCGTCCCCCGAGGGCCTTAGGTGTCCGCCTGGCAGTTGCCGCGCGTACTTTGGACGCCGCCGCCGCTGCCAACTGGCCGGGCGACCCCCTTCTCCCCTCGCCATGCTGTCCCGGCGCCGCGCCCACCGCCCGCATGTCCCCCTCGGCCTCTTCCTCTTCCTCCTCCTCCTCTCGAGCTGTGGGGCTGGGAGCCGGGCGCAGGAGGCGGGCGACGAGCCGGAGAGCCGAAGCGAAACTCCGCTCCGGACGCTGCAGCTGGAAACCCTGGTGAGCGCGGCGTGGCGTGGAGCGGGGCCGGGAGGGAGGGAGCCTGCCGCCGGCCGAGATGACAGCGGAGGATGGGGTCAGAGGAGGAGGAGGAAGACCTGCCTGCTCCAAAGTGGGCGCGGGGGTCCTCCCCTCCGTCTGTGCAGGCTCGCCAGGTGGGGGAGGCAAACTCAGCCGCCGCGTCTCGCCGTGCATCGGGCGCGTGCCTGCTGGGGACCCGGGGCGGCCTCGGCAGCGCATCTACGGTGGGGGGGGGGGAAGAGGGACCTGCAAAAGATTCCCCCTGCAGAGAGCGCTTGACAGATGGGGGAAGGAGGTGAGCGTCCGTCCGTCCCGTCGCCTTCCTCGCCCTCAGCTCGGGCCGTTTTCCCTTTGCAGGTGGCGCCCCCCGACGGCTGCACGGAGCGCTCGGCGACGGGCGACACGATTCGAATCCACTACACGGTAAGGCGAAGGGAAGGGGACGGGGACGGGGACGGAGCGGGGCGCGCGGCTGCCGCGAGGCAGGAGAAAGCCGCACGAACCACGTCAGCACAACCTCCTCCGGCTGGCTTTGCCGGCGGCGCCCGCCTCCTTTCGGGGCGTGGCTTCCTGGAGCCCCGCCCTCCCGTGTTAGGTCGCGGGCTGTTTTTTCCTGTCTCTTTGTTCCGGCTCATCACATGGCCTAGTGGGAGGGCCTGGTA